AAATGTAAGGAGTAGAAAGTACAGATATTTGTGTAAAAATGTAAGGAGTAGAAGTAAAAAGTTGCCATAAAAATAAGTAGTAAAGTAAAGTAAAAATATCAGAAAAATCTACTTGAGTACAGTAACGAAGTATTTGTACCTTGTTACTTCCCATCTGTGGTGTTCTACAATTTCATTATTAATGTCAGGTTTTAGCCTCTGCTCTCTAACTTGGCAAGTTGAAAGATTAGAGATTTAGAGTGCCTAATTTTGTTTAGTGGAGACCTAACCTTCTAATTCCCTCTCTTGTGTCACTGGATGTCAGATGACAAGACCTCATTCAGTTAATGTTTCAAAAATTAAGATGCTCTCCTGAGGATGCAAGAGCTTCCTCTCTAAGCCCCTGTCAAGTACAGCTGCAATTAAATTACTTTAAATTTGCCTTTTGACTCTGGCCTTTAGTCTAATATTCCACAAGCCCTGACAGGTAAACCATAAAAATCAGCAAATAAATGTAGATTTTGATGACTGAGACAGTAAAGCGCATACAAAATACTGGGGTAAATTTTAATTAAGATGGAAAAAAATGGAATTGTATGTTAAGGGAATATTGGCAACGACAATTGTCCAGTACTATTGTGAATGCACTATTTCATGAATAGTTTCAACACTTAGCCAAAATAACATGAGCAAAAAAAAAAAAAAAGTAAGAAATATTCCTGCACTACAAGACTCCTAAAGCCTAGTGCGTATATTTTCTTCTCCCTAGATCCCTAAAGGAGATAGGCCATTTAGATGCATTGCAGTTAGACATGCAGAGTATAGATCTGTTTAGAAAGTAATTTGAAATTCGAAAAGTGTTCTGTGCTGGAACAATTTGAGAAACCCAGCAGGAGAGCTGGACTTTAAAATGGGAGTGTGGAGGATGTGATATCTTGCACTAAGAGTCACAGTCAGTGATGGATTTTCTTCTCAATGCCAGAACATGTCACCCCTTATAGTTTCAGTGTATACTGTATCTCACATTTAACAATAGTTATATATCAGCTCTGGCAGGGTCACCCCATCAACCACATTTCTCAGAATGTAAACATTGTGGCCTTGTCCTTTCAGCTCTGCTTTAGCAGATACTTTTTTATATTTTATTTATTTGGTTTTCTTGTGTTGGGGATGGGGGTGGGGGTGTGGGGGGTGGATGAGTGCTGTGGAAAACCACGCTGTGTCCGTTCCCCTGGCTCTCAATGTGGGTGGCCAGGTTCAGGCAGATGGCGCGGTGGCGGATGGCCTCCATGGTCTGAGCATCGAAGAAGTCATGAGGTCGAGCTGGAGGAGGAGAATGGGAGGGGGGGGTGTTAGCTCCTTCTCCTAGAGATGACCTTTAACCCCACGGTTCCACTGAACACGGATTCTGTCTCAGCAGCAGCTAATGATCGGATGTCTCAGCGTAAAACGCCATCTACAGCGTTTTACGCTGAAACTCCAGTGACTTCCTGCTCTGATCCAGATGGACTAGAAGCGTGAAAAATAGATCCGCTGTGGACTTCAGAGAGGCGTTCAGCGGGGCGGGCTACCGGGAAGCGCTGCGGCGTCTGGAACGCTCTGACTGACTACAGCGAGCGCCATCCACTGCGCCGTTTACCCGTTCAGTGGGACTGTGGGGTAACAGGAAACGGAAATGATGGGCAGTCGGGGGGGTAGTCGTACGCAGTGAGCGGCGGTATTTGCTCCTCATCTTCCTCCTCTTCATCCCAGCCTTGGACGGAGACTCCTCCTTCACTCTGCCCTGACCGGACGCCTTGGAGGAACCCTGGGAGCTGAAGTGGGTGGGAACATGGCGCACTAGCCCTCCCTGGGATGCAAAGGTGGCGTTGCAGCCCCCGAGCACACACTGCAAGAAGCAGATAGAGAGGATGAGGGAGGCGGGGCAGGGGAGGAGCAGGAGGAGCAGAGGGAGGAGCAGGAGGAGCAGAGGGAGGAGCAGCAGGAGCAGAGGGAGGAGCAGCTTACCTTGAAGGGCTTGTCCCCGCTGTGGGACAGCATGTGTCTCTGCAGCCAGCTGTGGCTGGTGGACGGCGTGTTGTAGACCTTACAGCTCTTCCACAGACACACGAACACCTGGAGCACAGACACACCCATCAGAACCACCACCAACACCTGGACTGCTGCACACTGCCTGTCAGCAGCTGAGGCCAACAGTCACTACAGAAAGGACACACAAGGTCGGTAACCATGGAAACCATCACTGGCAGCTCAGAACCAAGGACCGGTCAGCTGGTCCAGGAGGTTAGATGAAGAATCAGAACCAGAAACCAGCAGGAAACACCAAACAGAACCGACCAGAACTAAAACTTTAAGGTGGACCGAGGGCAGAACCAAAGCTTTAAGGAGGACCGAGGGCAGAAC